ACTTTTATCAGGAAGAAGGACCTCGCTGATCATCAGCGAACTCATACTGGGAAGAAACCCCATGTACATGGTGAATGTGGAAAAGCCTTTATGAAGAAGAGTGCGCTCACTGGTCATCAGCGTACTCGTACTGGAGAGAAATCCCACGTATGCGGTGAGGACCATAAAGCTTTCACCCAAAAGCAATGCCTTATAGTTCATCACAGATTTTACAACCGAGATAAACCCCATGAATGTGGTGAATGTGGGAAATTCTTTATCTGGATGTATGAGCTCACTGTTCATATGCGAACTCCTACTGGAGAGAAATCTTATGTATGTTCTGAACGTGAAAAGGCTTTTATCAAGAAGAAGGACCTCGCTGATCGTCAGAAAATTCATACTGGAGATAAACCCCATGAATATGGTGAATGTGTAAAAGTCTTTATCTGGATGTATGAGCTCACTGTTCATATGCGAACTCATACTGTAGAGAAACCTTATGTATGTGATGAATGTGGAAAAGCCTTTATCAAGAAGACTGCTCTCACTGTTCATCAGCGAACGCATACTGGAAAGAAACCCCATGTATGTGGTGAGTGTGGTAAAGCTTTCACCCAGAAGGAATGCCTTATAGTTCATCAGAGATTTTACACCGGATATAAACCCCATGTATGTGGTGAACGTGGAAAATCCTTTATCTGGAATATGAGCTCACTGTTCATATGCGAACTCAAACTGGAGAGAAACCTTATGTACGTGGTGAAGGCGGAAAAGTCTTTATCGGAAAGAAGAACCTCACTGATCATCAGTGAACTCATACTGGAGAGACACCTTATGTATGTGCTGAATGTGAAAAAGCTTTTATCCAGAAGAAGGACCTCGTTGATGGTCAGCGAATTCATACTGGAGAGAAACCCCATGTATGTGGTGAATGTGGAAAAGCCTTTATCAAGAACACTACTCTCACTGATTTATCAACCATCTCATATAAGAGAGAAACCCTACGTATGTAGTGAATGTGGGAAAACTTTTATCAGGAAGAAGGACCTCGCTGATCATCAGCGAACTCATATTGGGAAGAAACCCCATGTACATGGTGAAAGTGGAAAAGCCTTTATGAAAAGA